CTTCATCGTTACGGAACGCGAAAAAAGGTGTAACAAACCTTTTTAAACACCGTAATTGTACTCGATACACGATATGGTAGTTGATTCGATGTGCTCTTTGTATTCACCGTCTTAAACAAAATAATAACAGCTGCATGTCGGACCCTTGGTCAGGAACGTAACCCCCACATCGTGTGGTCGTTTGTCTGGGAAAATGAGTCTCGATTTACGTCGTTTCGACACCGCGTCGCCTTTGTTGGAGATACGTCAACGGACGTAGGTCCGAGGACCACGTGGACGGGGGCAATCTCCCACTTACGAACATGTTCCCTGAGACCCCGCCTCTGCTCGTAAGTCGAGCGGTTCGTAAGTTGGAACACAATAAATATGTACCGCATTTAAACGCGCACACGGTCAGCGTTATAAAATGTGTGTACGCACGTACGTTGAACTTCTGTCGAACTGTGCGTAGCCAACCCGTCGCTGATCGGAGGTGCGTTGGGGAAGGACAACAAACTAAACACAACAACAACACGCAGTTGTAAAGGAATGAGATTGTCAATGTGTAGTAGGTTCAATGAGACGTGGACGACGTAGTTGGAAGGACACTTATTTATTATAACGTTTCACTCAGCACAGGCCAATGTATACAACACTCGAAGGGGTAACGGCCCCTTCACCCGTCTAACAGGGAGACCCCACTGTCTCTAACCCGGCTAGCCTACTCCCAGGTCCTCCACTCGAGAGCTAGGGGAGGCTAGCTGATCCAGCTCTGGTCAAGCTAGGATCACGGCACCCTTAGTCACCAGACCGGCTCTTACAAGAGCATCGGCTCTGGGCTCTTGGGGCCACGCCACTGGCTTGCCCTAGTCGGTCCTTAGAAGGACAGCGATCCAGGGGAGTCCCAGGGCCTATCTAGCCGGTCTTCACTCTTCACTGGTTTAAGCTAAACACTGAACGCCGAGCCGACCGGCTCACCGCCTTATATAGCAACTCCCCCCCGAGGGGTGGGGCCGTGGGGGATCACAGCGCCGTTACAGCCCCCCAGGGCTAACCGATGCGGACGTGGATGTAAGCATCCTTCCGCGTGCGGGAATAACCACCCCTGGTGTGTTTGTTCGCCCTCCCGTAACACCCCTACAAATGTAGCTGATTTATAAGTGCACCACAGCTCCCCAGGGGCTTCCTAACATCGGAAAGGAAGAGTATTCCAGACGGCCGCGGAAGCGCTGCGAGGATGGCGAGCGGAGTTCGCGCGATGATGGTTTAACTCTGCCTTGACGAGATCATCGGCGGGATAGTTACGGTTCATTTGGTAGCAAGCGACATTGTGTGTAATGAGCACGCCCATGATAACAAGGCTGCTGCTGTATTCGTCTGGCAAGCAGAAGGCAATGCAGCTCAGCGAGCACCGGACGGACCACGGTTCGAGTCTTGCAAAAATGTGTTACAATTCGTCTATCTATATATATAAAAGGGAAATTTGTGAATGTGTGTCTGTTGAAAATGTTTAGCGTACTTCCCGACATGCAACAAACTATAAATTTGCCATGTGGGTACTTTCCAGACTGTACACCATGCAAAAATTATAAAAATAGACTTTTGTATTTTTTGGGGGGGAGGGGCGCAATAATGCATATATTTAGCACGGCAAGTGAGCTGTGACGTCACATCTGTCATGTCACCCGCGCATGCGGAAACGTAACGCAGTGTGCCTGCTCATGTCACGCATCCCCCCCAACCCTATGCGAGTAAAGTGCCATACAAATGTATTGCAGGTCTAAGACGTTCTTTGCGCAACATTGGTTTATTGAGTCATTTACTACCGTACGCACCCTGAAAGTTGTGTGTGTCTGCAGCAAGCGCGTGTTTGTGTACCTATGGATGCGCTCGCGTTTGTGTGTGGGGGGGAGCGGTAGTGTAGTCGTTAGCGCGCTGTGCTACAAACCTGGTGACCCGAGTTAGATTCCCGCTCATGGCCAACACCAGTGACGATTATTTGAACAAGTAACTGGTGTGTGAAGGCGGCGCGGGCGTGGTGAATCCAAGTCCCGCGCGAAGCCGGGTAGTAAAGCTTGTATATGTACAGTGGCGTAGCTAGGATATTTTGCGCCCGGGGACGAACTATAAAATTGGTGCCCCCCCGTTTAATCACATACCAAAATGTAATTACATGACATGTAGGCTGTGTGTGGCGGGATATATAAACTTTTAGGTTGAGGTGTAGATTTGTGCAGTAGTTTCAGGCTGCCGCGCCCGCCGCAATAAGCCTCATTTTGGCGCCCCTTTACCTTGGCGCCCGGGGACATATGTACCCCCCTGCCCCCCCTTGCTACGCCTCTGTATATGTATAAAAACAATTACCATTGTTAAACTCATGACTAAAAAGACGTACTGTACATTTGCACATAGCCATGGAATAAAAAAAACTGCTGTGAGGATGAGCGGAGTTTATCCTCCTTGACGACATCGGTGGCGAGGCATCGTGGCTCATTTGCAGCAGGCTACTTGCGCATGCTGAGCGCGATGGGTTGTTTAGAAGAGCCATCACCCGCAAGGTTGTCTCTCCTCTTCGATTATGCGGAGCTGTTATGTATTGTACGTTGAACTTCTTTCGCACCGTACATAGCCAACCATTCATTTTTTCCATATGTAATGCGAGCGTAAATGGGGTTGCTGCTGGGCTCTGGCCCAATCACACGGCCCGGGGTATTGGGGGGCGGAGCCCAGTATGGGAAGGCCGGATCTGACGATCCAGAAGGGGAGTTGTCAGGGTCACGTGGGGGAGAAGATATAGGGGGAGCCCAGAAGGGATCGGGGTCAGTTGTTGGAGTGAAGAAGCGGGACCACGTTGGGTGGCCGCCGCGCCATCAGCCACGTGGCTGATGGGGCTTCGGCACACCGTCGGCCAGCGGTGTGCGGAGCGGGGAGGAGCTGACGGGAGAGCGCGTGCGGGGCGCGCGTGAGGAGGAGCTGACGGGAGAGCGCGTGCGAGGCACGCGCGAGGAGGAGCTAACGGAGGAGCGTACGCGGCATGCGAGAGGAACGTGCACGGCACGCGAGAGGAAGAGTGGAGGAGCTGAGGAGGAATCGCGTGCGGGGCACACGCGAGACGACGCTGGTACGCGGAGGAGACCAGCGGGGTGCGGAGAAAGAACTTGAATAAAAGACAAACGGAGACCAGCAGTGCCTGACGGAGTCTTTTATTACACAGACCGTCTGTTTTAAGATCCACGGAAGTAGATAATGCTAACGTTGACATGCAAATTGTCAACAGCTCTTACGAGGTCTTTTTTTGATGGGGTGTGGCCTATGTGCATAGTCTCCATCAAGTAATTTCACTGACTTATCAGAAACCTTTGTTGGTTGTTCAGCCAATGAAAAAAAAGTTATCTTTTGAATTTCAAGCCACATAATTATCTCTGTGTCAGGCAGGTATATAAGACATTTCTTGGTAGGAAAAGCCACAGACAGATGCCTGTTTTCATGCTTGGTACGCCACTTCTTTGTCGGGAACTGAACCGGTACCGCCTGGATCTCTGTGGCATTCAGGAGGTCCGGTGGACCGGTTCTGGCTCCTCCCACCATGAGGGGTGAACAGTCCTCTACTCGGGGCAGGAGACTACCAAACAACAGGGTGTGGCTCTTCTTCTGAACAAAAGAATGAAGGGGGCGTGGGAGCATGGCGGTGAGGTGTGGGAAGCTGTAAGCCCCAGGATACTTTGGGCTCGCCTTCCCATCAACCGGAGGCGAGGAGTGGTGGTCGTGGTTACTCATGCCCCCACTGAAGACGAACATTCGTGGAGGGATGCAGGCAAAGCCGATGAGTCAGATGCCTTCTATGACTTGCTGTCACAGGTGCTGGCTAAAGTGGCCACTCAGGACAGAGTCATCTTGTTGGGTGACTTCAATGCCCGAGTTGATCATGATGCTGGCATCTGGTCTGGAGTGATTGGAAGGTATGGGCCAGATCAGCTCAATAACAACGGTAGGAGGCTGCTAGATGTTTGTGCAGCCCATGGGCTTGTAATTACCAACACGCTCTTCCGGCATCAGCGCATCCACACATCATGGATGCATGCCGGGTCCAAGCAAGAACATCTGCTGGACTACATAGTGACGGACATCGGATGCGAGCTCATGTCCTTGATACCAGGACCTACCGTGGAGCCGATCTGCCCTCTGACCATCGACTAGTCATCTGTAAGATGCGCCTGCTATTCTTCCTCTCCGGTGGTGGGTATACACCCAGGACCCGATTTGCGAGAAAGGCAAGAAGGACACCAATATAGGAAAGCGGGGGGGTGTGGGGGCCTCCAAAATGACAGGTGCCGAGGGGTAGTGGTGATGATAGTGGTGATGATCATAGAAAACTTAAACACAACACAAGGAAGGCGATACAAGTGGTGGTGAAGATGCCGCGAGGTTTCAACGCAGCCTACGTTCGCTCGGCCGCACAGAGAGAGAGAAGGAGGGGGGAGGGGAGAGGTGGGGGGAGGGGTTAAGGGTGGGGGAGGGGTGGGGAAGGTGGGGGAGGGGGTAGGAGGAGTAGGGAAGGGGAAAGGAGTGGGGTGGAGGAATCAATTATTTCGACGATTCCGGCTCCTAGGAATACATTCTTTATTAAATCGATCCCCCCCCTACAAACCGAGAATAGAATCGCTACCTCGACGATTCGACAACCTTGAATCGATTCCCTATCCCGGGATTTCCACTCCCTCCAGCCAACAATCGATTCACTATCTCGACGAATCTGCCCCCTAAGAATCGATCCACAATCACGACGACTCCGCTCCCTATTAAGCGATTTCATTATCTCGACGATTTGCTCTCCTACCCGCTGAATCGTTTACGAAAAATCGATTCTTCAACACGCTGTCCCCCATCCTCCAAACACGAATCGATTCCAGGAATCGATTCATTTTCTCGTGAAGATTTTGAGCGATTCTTGCTATTAAGTGCAGGCAGAATCGATTCAGAATCAATATTCCGGGAATCGGAAGCTTTCGGGAATCGAAATTCTCAGGCGATCAGAATCTCGATTTTGATAGACAGCAGGAGCAATCCGATGAGCTGTGAAGCTCTTTTGCCGTCAACTCTAAACCACTTTTATTATTTCGCCAGGTGTAAGGTCCCCTCACTGAGCTGCTGTGTAGCTCTGTGTTTCAGACAAAGCGACCTGCCATCACCACAATGATGGCAGGTCAACCAAGATTCTGGTATCATCATCATCACGTGGACATTTGAACCTCATGGCGGGACCCACGGGGATCCTGAATGAACGTAAGTCAAAATCGTAATTTATTTATTTTTGGCGACTCCGTCCCACCGCGTACATAAACACCGCGACCCACCCAGCGTCGACCATTCTGCCATCATGTCCAAGCGCAGCGAGAACAAAAGGGCAGCAGAGCTGAACAAGCGAATGCACTCCATGCTCGGGTATGGGCAGGATCATTGGCAATCCCTGCCCGCGTCCACCTTTGGCGAATCGCTGGCCGTTCTCGAGGACTTCCGGAAAACATTCGGCAGCAATTTCGTCGCGAGTCGGTGGAGGGAGCGCATCATTGAGTACGTAAGCCTTTCCAATGGTACGTTCCCAGCGTCGACGTCGACGGCTACGGCCTCGTGCCAGACATCAACGGTGGCGGTGACGGCGCCATCATCTGCTACATCGTCTCGCGTGACAGCACTTTCGTCCTCACAATTGTCAACTCTGTCCAGCAGCGAAAGCGGTCGTCGGGTGGGCGGCAGTGGTGGATCGCAGCAAACCGTCCCGCTTCGTCAAGTTCGTGAACGTTGCAATCGCAAGGACACTGCAATGGCCCGCGCCATCAGCATTCTCGGTGATGACGCTGTTCGCAAAATTCGGGATGATTGGCAGTTGATGGAGACCGACCGGAATGGATCTGAATGGCAACAGTCGGAGAGGATTGTCCTGCAGATGCTTCAGCAGGGCTTGTCAGAGAGCGTGATTCGTGCAATCATCCCAGTCGGCGGTTCCAGGATCCATCGATTGCGGAAAGTCCTCGAGAATGGCATCGAAACACTGCATACGCGACGCCCGCCAAAAGTTCCACATCATGCCCTTGCTGATGATGATCTCGACGCCATCAAGGAGAATGCCTACACGTGGGAGGTCGAGGACGACTTTCCCTGCTCTCATCGTCGGCCTCGACAGTACTTTGTTGAGCCCAACATCACCTGGACCAAGCTTTATCGCCGATACAAGGCCAAGTTGGATGCTGTCAAGGGGTGTCGAGTCGTGTCGTATTCGCGATGGATTCAATACGTTCACATGTTCTATCCCGGACTGCGCTTGACGCGCACCACGGAAGACGTCTGCGACTGCTGCGTTCGCCTCGACGTCCGGCTCGCGTGCGAGGATCTTCCAGCAGATGAGCGCAAGCGCCTACTGGAGGAGAAGAATTTGCATCTCGATGCGGCCATCGACCAGCGCCGGACGGTGTCCACTTTCGTCAAGGAGTACGTCAAGCGGCACGCTCCTGATCAGAACATCCCCGTCACCATAATTCCGGACCACTATGACGACGCCGAACCCGACATTGTTGATTCTGCCTACGAATCGAGCCCCCTGCCGACGATTCAGATTCAGATTGAGGAATTTGGCGGTAGCTTCGCCATGCCACACTATGGTCACATGCGGCCGTCCGCCGATTACTTTGATTCAAACCTGATGTTGCAGAATTTCGTGCTGGCGGATATCACGAGCGGTATCAACAATGTGATCTTTTATGACGAGCGTGCCCAAGGAAAGGATGCGGACGCATTGTGTAGTCTTCGCTTCATGTACCACATGCGGCTGCTCGCCAAAAACCCGGGCGCGATGTCCAAGACCCTGGTGGTGATTCTGGACAACTGCGTTGGCCAGAACAAGTCTCAAGTCATGTTCATGTTCTTTGCGCTGCTGTCGCTCTTGTTCTACCGCAAAGTCGTTTTGTTGTACCTCATGCCGGGGCACTCGCACAACCAAGCCGATCGAGTTGTTACATGGTGTCGCAATTCAATGAAGGGCAAGAACTTCTACACGCCGTCGGATATCGTCGATACTGTCAACCTGATCAACAGCGTCGAGGCAACGTTCATCGATCATCAGGATGCCCAACGCCCTTTTTACACGGGCTGGGAGAGTCTTTTGAAGAAGCACTTCAAGTCGATGCCGCCCCGATACACTTCCAACTACTTCTTTGAGTTCGATGAAGGAGTGCTCAGCATGAGACACCTGAGTTCGACTCCGGACAACGAGGTCACCTGTGTCCCACTAATCGTGCCGGAGAACATCGATCTCGTTCGGCGATCCATTCTACAGGATCTTTTTGGCACCAATGTCAACACGATCGAGGAGGGGACGTTCGAGTCGATCCGATTGCCGACGGCTCCTGTCAGCAGCCTATCAAACAAGAAGCTGGCCTCGCTATCGAAGAAGTACTTCTCGATTCCACCCGAACACCTGCCGTACTATCCGGCTGTCCCGAGCGAGATCAGCTCGCAGATCGACGACCATCCGATGCCTGAAGGAAGCCCCACTCGTGCGACGAAACGAAAGCGTGCCGCCGTTGACGCGATGGTGGAGCCGGCCACTGACATTGGTCCGGCAGGCAGGCCGAAATGATAGCAGCTCAACCGAATGGCTGATATCATCATCATCGCCACCACCACCGTGGGAATGTAGAGCTGCCAAAATTATCTAAACCTAGTCTGTTAACAGACTGTCAGGGCAAGTCATAATTTTGTTACTGTGGTAGGAGTAGGAAATCTGAAACGCTGTTAAGCTCTTTGTTTAGAGATGTTCCAGTAGGAGGCACACGGGGTCAGAACGTTACAAGAACAAACAATGCCAGACATAAACAACACCGATAGGAGTACAAAGCAATAGGAAGGGTAAACACATCGCTTTAAATATATTTACACAATTAAAACGACAACGATTTGTAACGATGTAATCGAGGATTCGAATCCTCTGTATAGTTTGAGGGTGGCGATTACTTCCAACCGATTCCCAAGATTTAATTGAGGCATCGATTCTTCTGAAAGTTTCTGCGGCGATTTCCCCTACAGATTCAAAGATATAATCGCGGAATCGTTTCCTCTGCAAAATTAAGTTTAGCGATTCTGGACTGTGAACAATATTTGTCGAGATCGATTCTTCCCGTTAAGTTGGATTCAATCGACCGATTCCGACTTTAAGATTCTTTCCGAGAAATATCGAAATTGATTTTTCGTTTTGGATTCAATGGAGCGAATTCTATCGATTCAACTTTTTTCGTAAAATAAATAAATAATATAGGATTATAACTATCGGATATTCATATAGGATGGTATAGGATTTTAATACAAATATATATGAATATAGGATAATATTACAGGATATGAATCTCAATATAGGATATTAATATAGGATATTAATACCCACTAGAGGATATTAATATTATTATAGGATATTAATATAAATTTAGAATATTCATATTCTTCTTGGGAATATTATTTTATTATTTCCCTTCTACGTGACTTTACCGAAAGAACCAAGAAAATGAATCCCTGCAGTCACGAAAGCTTTAAATCGAAAAATATTCATATTATTATAGGATATTAATTGGACTATCCTTTGTGGTCAGGCCGCGAGCTGAAATGTTTTTTTTTTATAACAGCTCAGTGGGGTCTTAACCTGATAAAGTAAAATAAATAAAACTAGTTTCTAGTTTAGTTTCTAGTTTCATCGGCAGTAGCAGAGTCAGGCAATTTGCTTGAACCAGCTGGGGGCGCCATGGTGCCTATGGAGATGGTAACCACCTCGCTTTGGATACAGGAGGTCATGGGTTCTATCCCGATCCTGGCCATCCATTTCTGCTGCTGCTGTATATTTGGAGTCTGCGTCTCTCTCTCCCCTGTGGTGGTCACTGCGTGGATTTTTCTCTTTCGCGACCAATATCATCCATAATAGAGGTTGTTTTAGGGTTAGATCACATACATATATATCGTACTCAGATTGTAAATGTTGTGGCTTGGCTCTCCAACACACCAGCGTGCTGTACTAGTGACTAATTGGCATGTTCTGTTTACGTGACAACCCTTACTAGTTGGCTGTGTCAGGTGGTGGCAGGTTTTAATGACACATTTATATATTTACGAGATGTAACCCAAAAAAGACATCTATTAAGGATAATGAAGCCGACGCTTATTTCAACGTGAAGTTCCTTGGTCCATTCTGCCTTCCCACACGCTCTGTTGCTCAACCTCCGTGATTTTATTGCGATTCTCAAGCATTTTAGATTCGTTTGATTTACTTCATCCTTATGGAACGAAAAAAAGGTGTAAGAAACCTTTTAAAACTGTCATTCTACTCGATACACGATTGGTAGTTGATTCAATGTGCTCTTTGTGTTCACCGTCTTAAACAAAATAATAACAGCTTCATATTGGACCCTTGGTCAGGAACGTAACCCCACATCGTGTGGTCGTTTCTCTGGGAGAATGGGTCTCGACTTACGTCGTTTCGACACCGCGTCGACTTTTTACACGCTTTCTTTTAACTCAGTCCGTTGTCATTGTTGTTGTCGTTGTATCCTCAAATCTTGTAACTCAATTTTAATCTACTTCCCAATGTGGTATCGACTGCAAACTTGGTATACTTATGTCATACTCATGACAATGCTATATTCTATCATTAAAAATATATATATTTTTAAACATTATTTTTTATGTTATGTTTCGGCTTAGGTCTAATTGTCCACGCTCAACTAACGTTGGCTGTAATTGGCCACGGTCCCTTACATTATGGCAAGCTTCGGGGCCACTTCCTGGAATCATGGAGTTCTGCCATTACTAGAACATTTCATAAAAGCGTGTTAAAAAAAAGTTTTTTAAATGTAACTTTTTGGAGGTACGTCACCTGACGTAGGACTGAAGACCGCGTGGACGGGAGCAGTCCCCCACTTATGAACGCATTCCCTGAGACCCCACCCCCTGCTCGTGAGTCTAGCGGTTCTTAATTTGGAACACTACATATGTGTTGAGGAGCTGCCACGGACGCACTCGGACACGGAGGTAAGTTATGGCCTTTCGCCGAGGGTTTATTACTGGTGAACAATAATACACAAGGGTACACAACTCCCAGGGGCGATGGCTCCTACACTGAGTCCTGGTCCCTGCCCGGCTAGCTCTGGTCTCTCTCGTGTCGGATTGGGGACTCTGCCGACTCCACCGACCGGAGAGAGAAGCACCTCTACGGCTGCTACCACCAGCTTCTCCCCAGACTCGCTACTCGATCCCTCTCTACCCCTGGTTCCCTCTTCACCCTTCTTACTCTACCCGTTCCCACAGTGACCCCGCTTTCATCACGGGATCTCCCTTAAGTACTCTAGGAGACGTGACGTAATCGCACTGAGGGGGGGGGGGGAGCTCATCAGAATGTGGTAGCCAATGAATGGAACGTATCGGCTACCACATTCTGATGAGCTCCCCCCCCCCTCTCCTCCCCCCTCAACTCGCTTTAAAGGGATTACATCTTGAATCATTGCCTCATTTGATGGAGCTAATCTGGCTGTGACGGTCCCACCTGATGACGGAGACTTGTGTTGCCTCCGAAACGTCGTGATCTTTATTTTATTTTTTATTAATTTTGATGTTTTACCTACGTGACTTTACCGAAAACAACCTAAGAATATGAATCCTTGCAGTCACGAAAGCTTCAAATCTAGAATATGTACCGCATTTAAATGCGCACACGGTCAGCATTAGAAAACGTGTGGACGTACGTACGTTGAACTTCTGTCGCACCATGCATAGCCAACCCGTCGCTGATTGGAGGTGTGATGGGGAAGGACAACAAACTAAACACAACAACAACAACCAGCAGTTGTAAAGGAATTAGATTGTCAATATAGATGATTTAAAAGTGCACCACAGCTCCCAGGGGCTTCCTAATATTGAAAGCAGGGGCGGTTTCTTCATTAGGGTGATTGGGCGACGCACCACCAATGTCATTGAACCACAGAGTCACTGCAGCCTCTGGATATAGTCCAATTAGCGTCATGTCACGTTCTGTGGAGTACCGCCTCTTTTTGGGCGATTTCACTCCGGCTGAGAATCGCCCCGAGTGGCTCCATAGACTTACATTCAAAGATGTTTTTTTTCGACCGGGGGGCACTCCAATGCATTCTCTATGGCTTCCGGGAGGGCTCGCCCTAACGTGCTTACGTCATCATACGTGCTTACGTCATCACACGTAAGCACGTTTCATCCAACAATATAATTTGTGGCCACCTAGTGGAATATTTAATAAAATAAACTAGAGTGGTTTGTTTTAATAGTGAGTATAGAAACAAACAAGATGTATTGTAAGAGTCACTTTATTTTTCATTAATATTAAAGACGTGAAGTTGCCTTTACATGCTTAAGCTGTTAATTTATCCATTGCATGGGTGGACCTTATCCTTATCAATCATCCAGACATTTGCCCCCCCTGAGAGATTTTGCAGGAGCCGCCACTAATTGAAAGGGAAGAGCGTTCCAGACGGCCGCAGAAGCACTGCACATCTGAAAGCGACGTGCCAGCCAGAAGCCACTGCTGCTACTGCTGTGAGGATGACGACCGGAGTTTGAGCGATGATGGTTTAACGCTACCTTGACGAGATCATCGGCGGGGTCGTTGCGGATCATTTGGTCGCGGACGACTTTGTGTGTGTAATGAGCGCGACCCCGATAACAAATCTGCTGCTGCTGCTGTATTTGTCTGGCAAGCGGGAGCCAATGCAGGTCGGTGAGCACGGGATGCACACGGTTCGGATCTTGCGGTACCCCGTCATGACCACGTGCCAAATAATTTTGTACACACACAACCTGCAGGTTGGAAATGTGTTGTTTTTTTCCCAGACGTCCCGTAGAGTAGTGAGTTGCAATCAACGAGCCTTGACGATGTAGCAACTGCACGGCATGCCACCACTGAGTTGGCTGTACGCTGCTAGGGTGAGCAGAGTTTGAGCGATGATGGTTTAAACGCTCCTTGACGAGATGATCGGCGGAGTAGTTGCGGTTCATTTGGTGGCGAGCGTATTTGTGTGTGTGTAATGAGCGCGACCCCGATAACAAGGCTGCTGCTGTATTCGTCTGGCAAGCGGAAGGCAATGCAGCTCTGTGAGCAATGGACAGACCACGGTTCGGTCTTGCCATTGTTCAACTCACGACTAAGAAGACATTGTACATTTGCATGTAACACTGTAATAAAAAAAAACACTGCTGCGTGGATGAGTGGAGTTTATCTTCCTTGACGACATCGGTGGCGAGGCATCGTGGCTCATTTGCGGCGAGCCACTTTGTGTGTGTGTGCTGAGCCAGATGGGTTGATTAGATGAACCATCAGTGGTGGTGTAGCGGTTATCGCTACGTTGCGCCACAAACCTGGCGACCCGAGTTCGATTCCCGCTCACGGCCACCAACACCACTGCCGACTATCTTAACCGGTCATGAGCCTCTCCTAGGTTGACTCAGCCTCAAATGAGTACCTGGTGCGATGTGTAAACATCGCCACTAGGAGGACAAAGGCGGCCGGGCGTGGTGTTGGTCACCCACCCCCTCATGTGCTGTGCCGGCCTTCATAGGTGCTCGCTAATAGCACTTGCCCCTACAGTCTGTTACAAGGCTACACGGGGGAGCTTTATCTTTGTCTTTTTTTAGCACGATGGGTTGTTTAGAAGAGCCATCGGCAGTAGTGTAGCGGTAAGCGCTACACTGCGCTACGAACCCGTTGACCCGAGTTCGATTCCCGTTCACGGCCAACACCCATTGACGATTACACTATGTAACACAATTTTTGTTCCTAGGTAGTAAGTGTTATTTCGTAATTGCTTATGTCTAAAAAGTATAGAAAATGGCTATTATTCCCCACAAACTTTGCTTTAGTGACCAGAACATTGATATCTTGAAATTTACCTATTTGCAATGAGAAAACGGGCGAGTTTATGTCTTTTAGTTCACAAAGTCAGAAAAAAACATATGAATCAATGTATTTATACTAAAGTAATACAAAAATGACTACAAAAGAGTTTGAAATAAATCGTTTTTTGAGATTTACGATTATACTGTAAATAACTTTCACGAATCAGCACACAAATGTAGTCTCCCATCATGTTCTCGTTATACTGTCCTTGGTAGCGGCGTTCAAAGTCCAGTATATCCTGGTGGAAGCACTCGCCTTGCTCCTCCGAATACGCTCACATGTTCTCCTTAAATTTATCAAGATGAGCATCAAGGATATAGACTTTGAGGGACACCATACAGCTCATTGTGCCGGAGTTCTTCACCAGTCTCAACCAGCTCCACGTAGTTTTCGACCTTGTGATTGCCCAGGAAGCCACGAACCACTGCGACAAAGCTGTCCCAAGCCGCTTTCTCCTGACTAGTGAGCTTCTTTGGGAATTAATTGCACTCCAGGATCTTCTTTATCTGTTGTCCGACGAAGACACCGGCTTTGACCTTTGCCTCAGACAGCTTAGGAAAGGAGTCTTGAAAGTGCTTGAAGGCTACTGACTCCTTATCTACAGCTCTGACAAATTGTTTCATAAGGCCCAATTTGATGTGCAGTGGTGGCATCAGCACCTTCCGGGAGTCCACCAGTGGCTCCCACTTGACGTTGTTCCTCCCCACACAGAACTCGGTCCGCTGTGGCCAGTCCTGCCTGTGGTAGTGCACCTTGGTGTCCCTGCTGTCCCATAGGCAAAGATAGCAGGGAAACTTAGTAAAACCGCCTTGGAGACCCATCAGGAATGCCACCATTTTGAAGTATCCGATGACCTCGCAGCCGTACTCATCATACTTTAAGGCGTTCAGCAAGGTCTTGATGCTGTTGTAATCTTCTTTGAGGTGCACCGAGTGAGCCAGGCGAAGAGATGGGTACTTGTTACCATTATGGAGCAGCACGGCTTTGAGGCTCCTGGATGAGCTGTCATTGAAGAGGCGCCACTCATTTTGGTTACAGGCGATTTCAATTGCCTCGAACAGACTGGTCACATTGTGGCAAAAGCAGAGCCCAACTTAATGGGTGAAGAAGCTGCAAAAAGGTCATTGACGCTTCCTCTGATCTGCGACTTGCACACTTTTATCCAACAAGTTCCACTGCATGAGCCTAGACGTCAAAAGCCCGGCATTGTACTTGGTGAGACCAAGATCTCTGATCAAGTCGTTGAGGTCTTTTTGCTTGGGGTAGTATGGGTTTCTCTCCTCAGCTCCACCTGTGAAATTGTCATCTGGATCTACAACGTCTTCCTCTCTCTCTGACTTGCTCTCTTCTAAAGATGGCTGCTCTCTCTCCGGATGAGTGGGTATGGGGAGCTCATGGCAGTGTGGCACCTTGGCGATAGATGAAGGAAGGTCCAGATACGTGATAGCAGGTGCATTCTTGTCAGTCCGACGTTTGGAAGGGTCCACCATGTAGAAGTAGTAGTTGCTTGAGTGGTCAGTGGGTTCCCGCCAAATTCTTGGAATAGCGAACTTCATGGATTTTTTCCCCCTCTGTACCATCCTACAAAATTACATTTATTTCACCCATGACTAATGTGTAAGAGTTTCTCACAACATTTTTCATATATGATATATTTTTTCAATAACATTGAAAATTGTCAAATACTGTATAAAAAAAAAACATTTTTACAAATTTTTTTTTTTATAACTTAATTTCGAGCAACAATTGTCCATCTTACCTTCTAGAGTTTGGTTTGCATTGCTCGCAGGTGAATAGAGGTACCCAGGGTTTGTCTTGATCCCCGACAGGCATGCCAAAATATTCATTTTAGGCCTCACACATCTTAGCAGATGCTTCCACAGAGTACTTTTTCGCTCATGTCTTGACTCAATGTATCACTCGGCCTTAAGATTTGCATTGAACTGCCCATATAGACTCACCACTGTGATCTCTACATTGGGTCAAACTTAACATCTCTCAATGTTCGACGGCTTGTGCATCAGATCTTATTTATTCATGATGTACTTACAAAAAAATCCGCAGATTACCTGCTGGATCTCCTCTCTGTTTCAAAGAACAAATTTGACCTAAGGTCTTCGCTCATTTACCAGCTTCACATTCTCTATTGCCGTACAGATACTGGAGGAAGGGCCTTTGCTATTGATGCCCCCAGGGTCTGGAATGATTTTGCCAATAAACTGCAACTTGAATCACTACCTATGAGATCTTCACTCAAAACTGCTCTAGAGGAGTTGTACACCCCTAGCTGCCACTGCAATTTATTGGCCTAAAATACAATGTTTCGCTCCGGATGATCGCTGCAAAGTATGCAAAGTATGATCTGTGTTTTGATTTAGTGTGTTGATC